GGGTCGGGCCCCAGAGGGAGCCATCGGGTGGGGGGCGCCCCCAAGCTCCTGTGCCCACAGTGACAACGGCACCCCTGGCTGGTGCAGCTGGTGCCGTGGGACTAAGTGCCGCGAAGTCGCCCTCCGGAACAGGTCACCGGAGGAGGTCAGCACGGCCCAGACCCGCTGCGGACCATGAGAGGAGGCTGGAGCCCAAGGTCACCCGGGAACGGCCCAGGCCATGGCACCCGCTTGCTTTCATCCTCCCACGATCGCCGGCCTCGCTCTGCCAACTCCGGCTCCCCTGAAGCGATGAGCTTCCAGACAGGTGTTAAATACAGGTCTCCCCTGCGTCTTTCAGTGTGGCCGTGACCCTCTGGAGGTGTCTGCGCTAAATCACACGGCGTCCGGGCTGCAGAGGCTCCAGGCTGCTGGCAGGGGGAGTTTGCTGCCCCCTCCCCCCCGTGGAGGTGGCAGAGGCTGACACCCGCACCTGCCCCGAGGAACAGGTGACCTGCACGGGCCCCGCCCTGCGGGAGGGGGAGCCATGCCCCCCACAGGCACCTGATACCCACCCCCCCCCCCGCGTGTCCCCACGACTGGACACGGAACATCGCACCCACAAGGGGCGGCCCCGGAGGAAGAGCCTGCCCGCCCCAGGGTGGCTGGTCGAGCTCAGAGCCCGGCCTCTGCCCGAGAGCATGCGGGGGGCTCCCTGCCGACCACTCGCTGGCCCCCGGGGTGCCCAGACATGGCCAGACCTGCCCCCAAAGCCCGCAAGCGTCACCTCCCAGGCAACTGGGACGTCTCCAGTGTGATCAAATCGAATATCACAGCACAGGGAGGGGAGCCTGGATCACCCGGGTGGACCCAACAGGGTCACTGGCCGGCAGAGGGAGGCGGGGGTGGGGGTTAACACGTGGTCGGGGAGATGAGAGGTTTCCTCAAACGAGCGAGCCTGAGTCTGCGGTCCTACTCACTCCCTCCGTAAGCAAGTGCAGGTCTGGCTAGATCATCCAGAACTGATCTTAACACCGGGAAACACAGTGTGGACATTTAACTGAGCAACTCTGCCCCTGAGAAGTCACCCCAGGCCGGGCGCGGTGGCTCATGCCTATCATCCCAGCACTCTGGGAGGCCAAGGCGGGTGGATCACTCAAGGTCAGGAGTTCGAAACCAGCCTGAGCAAGAGCGAGGCCCCATCTCTACTATAAATAGAAAGAAATTAATTGGCCAACTAAAAATATATATGGAAAAAATTAGCCGGGCATGGTGGGGCATGCCTGTAGTCCCCAGCTACTCGGGAGGCTGAGGCAGGAGGATCGCTTGAGCCCAGGAGTCTGAGGTTGCTGTGAGGGACGCTGACGCCACGGCACTCACTCTAGCCTGGGCAACAGGGTGAGACTCTGTCTCAAAAAAAAACAAAAACAAAAACAAAAAAAGAAGTCACCCCAGAGAGACGAGGGTGCAGGAACACAGAGGTTCTTACGGGGCCATGTGTGAGGACGCAAACCAGGCACGTGACACGGGAAGACGGCAAAGTGACCGTCACGTGGCCTCGAAGGCCGCCATGGAGTCTGCAGTCACCGGCTGGCCGGCTTCAGTGGCGGAGGCCCCGAGACACTAGACAGGCACTTTAGGAAGAAGAGGAGGGATCCTGCCGTGCTCAGGAGGGAAAATGCAGTGAGACCAGCCACGCTCTGGCCGGCAGTGGGAAGGGCGGGGAGTGGGGACTGTGCCGGGGACAAGCCACGTGGGCACCAGCCACATGGGGACCAGCCACGTGGGGGCAAGACGTGGGGACAAGCCACGTGGGGACACCCCTGCTCCACCCCCACCAGGCTCTTAGTATGACCCTCTGTCTGCAGAGCGCAAGCTCCAAAGCCACCCTGATAAAAAAAAATTTTTTTTTTTCGAGACAAGAGTCTCACTCTGTTGCCCAGACTAAAGTGCCGTGGCGTCAGCCTCGCTCACAGCAACCTCAGACTCCTGGGCTCAAGCCATCCTCCTGCCTCAGCCTCCCAAGTAGCTGGGACTATAGGTACGTGCCACCATGCCTGGCTAGTTTTTTATATATATATATTTTTTTAGTTGGCCAATTAATTTCTTTCTATTTTTAGTAGAGACGGGGTCTCACTCTTGCTCAGGCTGGTCTTAAACTCCTGACTTTGAGCAATCCTCCCGCCTCGGCCTCCCAGAGTGCTAGGATGGCAGGCGTGAGCCACCGCGCCTGGAGCTGATAAAAATTCTGAGATAAAAAATAAATAAAATGAGAAGATAAAAAATATAAAAACAGGCTGGTCCGAAGGTAGTGAGTTACTTCACGTGATTGTTCACAGTCAGTTACAGATTGAACTCCTTCTTCTACTACTTCCCCCCTCCTCACCACTGCACTTGACTAGTCTTTATATATATATATACATATATATAAATAACACGAACACAGACAGGGCCATCCCCTTCCCACTCCGACCTGTCCCCTGCAGCCGGAAGGTGCAGATTTAACAGACACACTCAGAAATGGGGTCTCTCCTGGGGCCCCTGGGGGGCTCACTGCAGCCCCTCGGGGCAGGGAGGGGGTGTCGGGTGCTCTCTCCCGCCCCTGGGGTTAACCAGGTGCTCACAAAGGGCCCCCTTCGACCCTCCCTCAAGCCCTGGGGCCACCCGCACTCCATGGGGAAGGGAAGCACCGAGCCCTTGCTGGAGGAAAATCCCTGCAACCCCCTCTGCGCTTTCCCTGAGGAGCTGTGGGGGACAGACGGGCTGACAGCCGGCCCCCCGAGGAGTCGAGGAGTCGGCCTCACATCACAGGCCCATCCCCAAACGAGCAGACAAGTCATCCCAACTCCAGAAAGCGTCCTCCCCCCTCCCCCTGGGAAATGTGGAGCGACCTTCAAAAGAAAAACCCCAAAAACCCTGGAGAACGCTTGGCAGAGACAAGCTTTAATTAACATCCTCCCTGGTATGATAAAAATTCCTCCCCGCCTCTGCTCGGAACGAGACTCCTTATTCAAACACTTTCTTCTCTTTAAAAATAGCTCCGGTACCCGGCCATTAGAACGCGGGCTGCCTGTCAATCCGGGCTTTCTTTTCCTGCGGTTGTCAGACCGGCACCTTCCTTGCTTCCCAGAAGACAAAGACGGCATCACGGCGGAGCCCGTCACTCTGCAGGGCGGGAACTTGGGAGCGGCCGCGGGGAACGGCTCCCCCCGGGCGCGTGGACCAACCTCCCTCCCCAGTGGCCAGTCCCGCCCAGGGGGGAATCTGGCCAGAGACCGCCGGAGCCTCCCAGAACAGAGAGGCCCCCAGTTCTCCCCGCATCTGGGAGGCTGAGAGACATGTGTGCACGCCCAAGGTGTCCTGAGAAATGTATGCACACAGCACGACGTGGCTTCATGACACGTTCTCAGGACTGCGCCCTTGGGCAGTGTGGTCGTGTGCAAACATCACAGCACACGCTTGCACACCCTGGACGGCACAGCCCGGGCTATATGGTAACACCTGCTGCTCGTGGGCCGCACATCTGTGCAGCAGGTGACTATAGCAAACGCTGCAGGTAGCTATAACACGACGGTCAGTGTTTGTGTGTCCAAACATCTAAACGTGGAAAAGATGCAGTAAAAATACGGGATTATGGCTGGGTGTGGCGGCTCACGCCTGTCATCCTAGCACTCTGGGAGGCCGAGGCAGGAGGATTGCTCAAGGTCAGGAGTTTGAGACCAGCCTGAGCAAGAGCGAGACCCCGTCTCTACTATAAATAGAAAGAAATTAATTGGCCAACTAAAAATATATAGAACAAATTAGCCGGGCATGGTGGCACATGCCTGTAGTCCCAGCTACTCAGGAGGCTGAGGCAGGAGGATCGCTTGAGCCCAGGAGGTTGAGGTTGCTGTGAGTGAGGCTGACGCCGAGGCACTGTAGCCCGGGCAAAAGAGCGACGCAGCCAATTCCGCCGTGTTACTCCAAACGACCCAAATGCTCTGAGCTCTCTGACAGAGTCCTCAGAAAATCCCAACTCCGAGTCCTGCACCGACCCCGGGTCTCACGCCAGGACCCAGCCTGGGGGAGCCACTCGCGTGTTTTTTTTTAGTTTTTTGTTTTGAGTCAAAGTCTCACTCTGTTGCCCAGGCTACAGTGAGCCCCGTGGCATCAGCCTCGCTCACAGCAACCTCCAAGTCCTGGGCTCAAGCGATCCTCCTGCCTCAGCTTCCTGAGTAGCTGAGACTACAGGCATTCGCCACCATGCCCGGATAATTTTTTCTATATATTTTTAGTTGTCCAGCTAATTTCTTTCTATTTTTAGTAGAGACGGGGTCTCGCTCTTGCTCAGGCTGGTTTTGAACTCCCGACCTCGAGCGATCCTTCCTTCTCGGCCTCCCAGAGTGCTGGGATTGCAGGCGTGAGCCACCTCGCCGGCCTGCATGCGTGTTTCTGAAGGGCAGCGCACACCTGTGCCCCGAGGAGCCGGGAAGCCCTGCCCACTGGGGAGATACATGACATCCGGTCCCACGGTCATGATGCCCCAGGACACACGGCTCGTCAGGACACACAGCTCGCCAGGACACACGGCTTGCTAGGACACACAGCTCACCGCACAACACGTGAAGCACAAAACCGTCTTCTCCCGAGTCCCGCGGCTCTCTGACTGCGCGGAGCCGCTCACCTGGCTCGTGGCTGTCACACCAGGTGCCTGGGAGGCGCCAGTCCCTCCCCTCCCCCGGGAGGGCCGCTCACTATAAAGCAGAGGACGGTCCACGCAGGCTGCCGCCCACGCACCCGGGCGGCTCCCTCTGGCCTCCGCGGCCTTGGCCCCATCGCCAACACAGGTCACCGGGCGCCGCCCACGGGGCTTCCCGCCAGCCGCACCTCCGCACAAAGTCTCAGGAGAGGGACGGCAGGGACGGGACGAGGCCAACCTGGGCCGCTCGGTCGCCACCCCTGGCTCTCTGCGCTTCACTTGAACACCCGCCTGCTCCTCGGCGAGAACCCGGACGCATGGACGGAGACGCCGAGGAACTCACCAGCGTGTGCCTGAGCCGGACGGAGACGAGTGGGGACCCCGACAGGTTCCGGGCGAGCGCGGGCGGCGGGGACACCTCCAGGGAGATCAGCGGGCTGGCGGCTGACAGCGGGCAGCCCTTGCAGCGTGCGGCAGCCTCCGCGATCCTGGGGGACCACGGAAACCGTCACGAAACGGAGAATGAAGGGCGTGAGCATGGGGACAAGGGTTTAGGACTCAACTCGAGGCCGGGGGTGTGGGAGACGGCGGCTCTGCCGGGTGAACTCTGACCCCTGGGGGTCGGCACCGGCTGCCCTGCTCAGGACGGACCGGCACCTGCGTGTGGGGGCGCCGAGCACTCACCCGGCCGGCTCGCCGTCCCCACAGCGGCCCTCGGAGACCAGTGCCCTGGTTGCCCCTGGTTCAGAGCGGCACACATGCAAGTCTACACAGCTAGCCGGGTGGGGATCTCCGGTGTGGACCCAGCCCTGTGCCGGGAACCACGACACCAGCTCTCCCACGCCAGGACAGTCCCAGACACGCAGGGACTGTGCAGGGGCAGCGCGTGGACGACGCTTTTGCCGGTGAATTGTTTTTCTTTTTGAGACAGAGTCTCGCTTTGTTGCCCAGGCTAGAGTGAGTGCCGTGGTGTCAGCCTAGCTCACAGCAACCTCAAACTCCTGGGCTCAAGCAATCCTGCTGCCTCGGCCTCCCAAGTAGCTGGGACTACAGGCATGCGCCACCATGCCCGGCTAATTTTTTCTATGTATTTTTAATTGGTCAATTAATTTATTTCTATTTATAGTAGAGACGGGATCTTGCCGTTGCTCAGGCTGGTTTTGAACTCCTGACCTCGAGCAATCCTCCCGCCTCGGCCTCCCAGAGTGCTGGGATCACAGGCATGAGCCACCGCGCCCGGCCTGATTGTGCTTCTCTCCGACTGTTCTTCTGAAGAACTTTAGAACCTCGGCAGGAGTGATGGGTGCTGCTTCCTTCCACGGTAGGGAGCCTGTGGGGTGCAGCCTCCCGGGAGGGTCGGACCTGGAGGACGGCCCTTCCTGCACACCGAGCGGCGTTCCCGCGTGTGTCCGGGAAGGAGCCGACCTCCCGGGGCCTGAGGGCCCGGCCCCCAAGAGCCGACGCCGCGGGAGCCAGCTCTGCCTTCCCGGGCGAGGCCCTCGCAGAGCCCGGCAGCCGCGGGCGGCGGAGACCGGCCTAGACGCGTCCCTGGGGCCCGACAGGCCTGCGGCCCACCCGCTCCCGCCCCTCCCCGCCCCGAGCCCTCTGTGCCCGGCCTGAGCTGGCCTCGCCGCGGGTGCCCAACACGGCCCTGACGCACGGGGCAGGGCTGCCGCCTCGCCGTCCCACGGAAGTGGGAACTGGGGGCGGAGTCGTGTCGCCGTCGGCCTGCGCACCTGGCGGGCAGCGGTGCCTGAGCCGTCCCCGAAGGGCTGGGCGTCCTCAGGCGTGACAGTGGACCGCCAGGCGTCGTGTGTGTGTGTGTGTCTGTGCGTGTGTGCATTGTATGCATGTGTGTGCATACATGTGCATGTGTGTATGTGTGCGAGTGTGTGTGGATGTGTGTGCACATGTTGGTGTGCGTGTGTGCATGTGTGTATGTGTGCAAGTGTGTGTGGATGTGTGTGCACATGTTGGTGTGCCTGTGTGCATGTGTATGTGCGCAAGTGTGTGCATGTGTGTATTGTGTGCATGCATTTGCATGCGTGTGCATGTGTGCACATGTTGGTGTGTGTGTGTGTGTGCAAGTGTGTTGGTGTGTGTGCATGCGTACAAGTGTATGTGTGCAAGTGTGTGTGTGTGTGTGCACGCGAACGCTGGGGGAGTGTCACCGGGTTGGGCCGCCCACGGCAGGCACACGCACACCCCCTGCCTCCCCCCACCCATCTCCGCACCCGAGACCCACCTGGTGCTGGCGGGCGGGATGCCGTGCAGCGCGCGGTGCACGGAGTGGTAGAGAAGCCCCACGATGGTGGCCCAGGCTGGGGAGAGAGCAGAGGCCCCGACGCCGGTCAGGCTTGGGGGTGACAAGGAGAGACGCGCACGGCCCTCGCACCCAGGACCCGGCAGCCCCGGGGGCGGCAGGTGAAGGGCACTGCGGCAGGATTCGCACTGCAGACTCTGGGGCGGCTGCGACACGGAGCCTGTGCCGGCCGGGGCGGCCTCCAGGCCTGCCGTGTGCTCGTCCTGCCGGCCGTCCGCAGGGGTCACGCCGCGCGGGGTCACGCCACTCGGGGTCACGCCGCGCGGGGTCACGCCACAGGGGGTCACGCCGCGCGGGGTCACGCCACAGGGGGTCACGCCGCGCGGGGTCACGCCACAGGGGGTTACGCCGCGCGGGGTCACGCCACAGGGGGTCACGCCACAGGGGGCTACGCCGCGCGGGGTCACGCCACAGGGGGTTACGCCGCGCGGGGTCACGCCACAGGGGGTTACGCCGCGCGGGGTTACGCCACTCGGGGTTACGCCGCGCGGGGTCACGCAGCGCGGGGTTACGCCACGCGGGGTCACGCCACTCGGGGTCACGCCACTCGGGGTTACGCCGCGCAGGGTTACGCCACGCGGGGTTACGCCACGCGGGGTCACGCCACGCGGGGTCACGCCACGCGGGGTCACGCCACGCGGGGTCACGCCACGCGGGGTCACGCCGCGCAACGCCACAGCGCGCACAGACGACGCCGCCCGGACGCCGCTGCGCCCCTCCCCGCCGCCACGCGGTGACAAGCGGGCCACCGTCCCCGCCCTCTCGCTCCATCCGCGGCAGAGCACGCGGGGCTTCCCCACCGCCCGCCAGCCGGGCCTCCCGGGCTGCCCCCGCCCCGCGCTCCCCGCCCGCCCCGCGCTCACCGCGGCCGCGGAAGGCCTCCTGCGGGATCTCGATGTAGCTCGGGCCCCGCGCCGGGAAGCGGTAGCGGGAGACGTTCGCGGCCCCGGGGAGGGCGCTGGCCACGGAGAACTCTGCAGGGAGCGGGGCGGGGGCCAGGGTCAGCAGCCGCAGACCCGCCGGGGACCCCCCTCCCCGACAGCGGGCTCCCCCAGCCGGCGACCACCGTGGGAAAGCGCAGCCGAGTCAGCCGGAAGGGCCGCGTCTCCCCGAAAACAAGGCAGGGCCTCCTATTCATCTTTCCTCAAGGAGACGCCCTAGGGCTGGCTTCCAGGGCGCGTGTGATTTTTTTAAGTGCGGTACAACTGTCTGTATTTATTCAAATAGAGTTAGGTCGTCTTCTCCTGGAGCATCATCCTCACTCTCCAAACCCCGAATCCCATCCTGAATGTCTTGCGACTCTGTTTCCTTTAGAGCCACCGGGCCCATCTCTCCTGTGGAGCCACAGAGCTCTCACGGGCGGATGAGAAGGGCTGCTCGTGTTCTTTCCCGCCCCGCGACGACACGCACGGGTTGTGCAGACGCGCTGCGCAGCCACGCCGTCACTGGGGCTGATTTTCGGGGTAGGGCTAATATTGCACAAATGCTTAGAAATCCTGCTGGGGCTTGTTTTATGGGTTGGGCTTATTTTCAGGGAAACACAATAACCATGACCCGGAGGCTGAGCCGTGGCCGTCCCTCCAGGGCTCCTACCTGTGGGGACCCCAGCCCAGCCCTCAGCTCTCGGGGTACCGGGCGACTGAGCCCGGGACGCGGGGAGACCCCAGGTGTGGAGGGCGCCGGTCCCCGCAGGGGCCCCACGGCCAGCGAGCCCCGTCCCGCCCACCTGTGCCCACGTACCCGCCACGGAGGAGGAGCCCTCGATGGCGGCCTGGGGCCGGCTGGCCCGCAGGTTGGACGCTACGTGGCCCATGACGGTGTCGACGGTGGCCACCAAGCCCAGCGCCACTCTGCCGTCCTGCAAACGACACGAGTGGGGGGCCGTGAGTCCCCCGCCCGGCTCACCCCGGAGCCCACGGAACCACGTGTCCCCACCACGGCCCTCCCCGGAGGGAGAAGCCACACGACTGCCCTGACTCACAGGCCGGGAGGTGACCACAGAGAGGCCACAAGCCGGCCGAGCCCACGAGCAGGGACACAGGTGAGGGTGGACCCCCCCACGGCCCAGGCCATGGGCTCCTGCGTTTCTGGGCCAAGACACCGACTTCTGGGCTCAAGCGATCCTCCTGCCTCAGCCTCCCAAGTAG